CCAAACAACGTTCTCCGTCCACCCTTCTCTCCCCACTCAACTGAGACACCAAGTCTGGGATTCGAGAATTACAGCTAAGATCCTCGCCAAAGTGACCAAATTACAACTGATGGCTTTTGGCTCCAGGACTTTTCAACAGACGAGTGTCTGCTGAGCCATCCCGCACCCCTCCCCACCCGACTCACACCCCCACCCCCAAGAGCTCAGGGAAAAGCCATTAGTTCATTATTCTTAAGAAATAGCTATCAAAAACGAGGGAGAGGAATGATCTCACGTATCTGACAGAGGAGGGAACGAGCACAGAGATTATAATTCAAAGTGACATGGTGACATTTCAAGAGAAGAATAATATTGGCAGGTCATGCTGATTCTCTGAAAGTTGTTGGGCAAGTTTAAAAAGCAACTGGAGAGTTTATCAGAGTAGCTACTTCCTTGACAGGCACCAGGAGAAAGAATCTCAGACAATGAAGGCAGATTTCTGGCTCCTTGTCAAGGTGCTGACCTGTCTTTCCCAGGAACAAATGTAGCTGAGAGGCAGTATAAATAGGGGCATATTGACAGTGGAAACTTTCTCTACAGCACAGAGAGACTATATAAACCAATGTAAGACAAACCGTTAAAAGTCTGTATGTGTCATTAGAGAAAGTTGTGGAATTCTATAAATATTGAAAAACAGAAATGGTGTGGAGATTACCCTCTGCAAACAGTTTCAAGAATGGACATACGAATGTTTTAAGATCTTCACAACAACCTTGTGGGAATCAACGAAGTTCAAACATGTATCTCTGTAAAGCTTTCATATTAGTTGTTAAACTAAGAGATTAATATATAGTTCTAGAGAATACTTAGAGCACTTTCATAACCATGATTTCACTTTATCCTCATAACAACCCTGTAAAGAGTGGTTATGCCTTATTTTATAGAGAAAGAAGTAGTGTGTGACAATTAAATTCTTGCTCTGAAGGTTTTTACAGAGCAATAAGTAGGAGACAGTACTAAATTCTGGTGGTGCAAACAAGGGCTGATGTTTTGAACCCTGGCTCTCAGTTTGGTTGTGGCTCTGTCTGTCCTGGCAGAATGGACTGGTGCCACAAATGACGTTGGCACATGCCTTAGTATCCAAAACAAATGTCATGGTTAGTATTTATTTACCGTTAATATTTAAAATATTGGTAGAGTCAAAGGGAAACAGCTCCCTCTCTACATATTTCACTGTTAGATGCAAAACATCTTTTTATTCAAAGATTTGGCTTCCTATTGAAATACTCTGAAGAAAACTGGATGATTTTTACAATGTAGGAAATATTTTCAATTTAGACAAGTGTAAGCTATATTTTTTGATGATTTTAATAATAGCTAATCTTGTTTACAAACATCAAATCACTCATCTCAATAAATGTTACCATCATCAAATGTAGCCAATTGCTGTGTAAATAAAGGGGCAATGAACATGCTGTGGCTCTTGTACATCCATACTCTCAAGGGCTCATCATTATCAGTGTCATCCCAGTAAACGTGTGCAAACCCTAGAAGCCACTTCATCGTCCTAGTCCAGTTTCTCATGTGCCAGATGAGGGAACTTAGTGAGATGATTGGGACGCTATGGTACAGAACAGGATACCTGCACAATTTAAGGATATGTGTATCTGTTTACCTTAAGCTAGTGCCACTGATGGGAACATCAAGTGCTAGTACAGAAGGTGAAACTAGAAACTAGTACTAGTATTTGTGTTCAGCGGAATCTTGACAGTTATTTCTGAACTAGGAATGTGGTCTGTGGAGAGAGATGAAGACCGGATCCATTTAAGAGATGTTCACATGTATGTCTCAGTGCCGGCTAAGCTCACAGGCAAGATTCAGAATGCTGGCTCTCTCTATCTCCAACATATACTCCACCTTAGTCCTTAGAAAAAACCTATTTGGCAAGTGTCCTCCTGGTCATCTCGGTAACCATTTTGTGCTTAAGCAGACGAAGTTAGCCTCCAATGCTGAAATCCCTCAGTTGCTCACGACCTCCAACATTCACTTTCATTTTAAGATTAAAAAAAACAAATATCTGACTCTTGGAAGAGACCAAGGGGTCCAACTTGATGCTGGCAATCTGACCACAGGCATGGAAAGAAGGCTTACAGGAGGCATGTTTAGAGTTTTCTGGCTTTGATTCAGCTTGTTATTTTCCTTAAAACTTAAAATCTCAGCTCTAAGGTAGACCACAAAGCTCACTAAAACTTCAAGCAGCCTCAAGACCATCTAGCCCAATAGACCTATATTCTTAGCTTTACTTAAAGAAAAAAGTGGAAACTACACAGGTGCCGATTATACGGGTTAACAGCAACCTCACGGTTCAGAAAGATTAAAGAGTTCAAATGAAGGGTATTTTCCTCCTCAGACAGTGAAACAAAATAAACACATCATGTACTAACTGGCTTAGTGAAAATCCTTTGTTGAACAGGCAAACAATTATGAGATAAGAAATAAGAATAACCAACCAAATGCTTTGATCTTTTAAAAATACTCATTTGCCAAAACAGAAATAATAACATGTTACCAAGCGCCCAAAGAGAGAAACAAAAGAAGTAATAGCAATCTGGAAAGAAACAGAGAACGAAATTAAATTTAATATGATAATGAATAAGAATGCATTTAGCAGAGTTCCTGGTTAGTCAGAGGCAACTTCCTGGAAGGGGCAAATTGAGGTGAGCTTCTGGAATACAGAGGTTCTTCTTTTGTGTGTTGTATGGAGTCTAGTCTTCTGTTTCTGTAAATAGCTTTTGAAAAGCCAGCCGGCCTATAAAGCACACTTCCTTCCATCCCACACAAATCTCACTGCATGGGAATACATTTTATAGTATATCAGTTGACTTCTTGCCTGGAACAAATTGTTATAGTAGAAAAATTCAAATTGTTCCATGCAATATTTCTTTTTATTTCTTTTATTTTTTATTTTACTTAGAGAGGGAGGATGGAAGAGAAAGAGGGAGGGGTAGAAGAGAGGGAGGAACAAAGGGAGAGAGAGAAAGAACAAGAGAGAGACATTGATGTGAGACACACTGATTAGTTGTCCCTACCCCGCACTCACCCTGACTGGGGTTCGAACCAACAACCCAGGTATGTGCCTTGACCAGGAAACAAACCCACCATCCTTTTGTGCATGAGACGATGCTCCAACCAACTGAGCCACACTGGCCAGGGCTGCAATATGTTTTCTCAAAAAGTTTGTTGTGAAATTTAATTATTGTCAGGATTACACTGTTTTCTCATAAAAATACAATTACAATGGATTTAAGAGGTGAGAAACTTTGATTATGGTTTTCATTCATGATTCAATTCAGTGGGGAAAATCTTTCATTAACAGAAAACTACACTCAGACTTTTGCCATTTTTCCCCTGTAAGGCACAGCTGATTTCATAATCACAGTGTTACCTGAGATCTGAATCAGGGGATAAACCCAACAGTATAATTTAAGAATGAAGAGTTGATGATAATATCATTCAATATTACAAACTTTTCAAAAACAGTTCCTCAATCTCTCTTAAATTTCACAACATTCTGGTGAGTCATGTGGACTCAGATATTATTAGTCCTCTTTTATAGAAAAGGGAAAAAATGATCTAGAGAAGAAAACCTACCAGGGCAAATCAATAGCAGAGCCCTGGTCTGTGTTGCTCAATGGTTAGAGTGTTGGCCCATGCATCAAAGGATCATGGATTTGATTCTGGTCAAGGTCATGTACCTGGGTTGCAAATTTGATTCCTGGTCCCAGTTGGGTGGAATTGGGGTGAGTACAGGAGGCAATCAGTCAACATACGCTTCTCTCACATTGATGTTTCTCTCCCTCTTACACCCCTCTCTCATCTCTCTTTTTTCTCTTCCTTCTCTCCCTCCCTTCCACTTAACCTAAATATCAGTGGGAAAATGTCCTGAGGAGAGGATTAAAATAAAACAAAAAATCAATAGCAGAACCAAGTACTTTACTTTTGCTCAACACCATCTAGGCTATTATCAAAACACTTAGGAGAAAAAAGAATGAACTCCATACAAAAAAAAAAAAAAAATATGCAGAGAAATAACAGCAGTGGCAGCAACAGAAGCAAAATGAGAGTAGCCATCATTAGCTGAGTGCTGACAGTGTGCCAGGCACAATGCTAAGCATGATATATATACATATATTCTTATTTAATAATTAGAATAATAATAGAAGCAGATGCCATCTCATGTCATGGTTAGGGGACGGAGACACAGGGTGGAAGAATTTTGACTTAGGACATAGTCAGTACATGGCCTGGTTGTGATTCAACTTCACATCTATCTGATACTTGAGGACCTTAAACCTTTTCTCTGATGGGATGACTAGGAGCCTCAGATTTCAAGTCCTGAAATCTTTGCTCAGAATGGAGGTTTAGGGTAGTTCTCAATGAGGACTACCCTAAACCTCCATTTAAAGCTGTAACCTCATCGCCACCATACCAAAGTCCTTAAATCATGGTTATGTGACCTAATTTTTGTTTTTAATATTGATTGTTAATATAAGCTCCAAAGAGTAAGAATCATTGGGTGTATTTTTTTCACCAAAAAATCCCAGATGCTTGGATAGTGCTAGCCAGTAGAACTTTCTGTAATGACTGAAATGTTTTATATCTATGCTATAAGGTAACCACTAGCCACAGAACAAAACTGAAAAGTGGCTAGTGCCACTGAAGGACTGAATTGTTTATTTTATCTAATATTTTAGTTTAATTTAAATAGCCATATTTTTTCAATAGAATTAATGGTTAAAAAAGGGTTCAGATTAAATTAAGGAAATCGCTTAAAAGTTCAGGAACTATGACTAAAATAGCAAGCACACATGCTCAAACTTTTGACTCCTTTTTGTCATCTGTAACATGAAATCGTCCATAACTTTTTTTTGAAAGCAAGGAAAGCATACCAGCAGCACATAATGAATTCCCATGTATGTGATTTATATATGATTACAATGATTATGATAATCACGCAGTACCTTTTTGACCTTGTTTTTTTTCTCATAGGTCTCTGACAGTGGTTTTTTCTTCTGCTGAGTTGTGTCTTTGGAGAATAAATACTCAAATTCACTAGGATCCCGAATATCAGGTTCTTCTAAGGAGTCCCATAAGGTTGGTGTAGCACTTTGGCTTAAAAGAGAAAACGATAAGAGAAAAAGAATAAACACAATCTCTAATTCATTTTTTAACTAATTAAAAAATAATAAAAGTTTACAACTAGATTTAAAAAATAAGTCAACAAACTGCAAGCACTGTTAATGGAGCTCTTAATTAAAAAAAAAGATACACACAGCCCTAGCTGGTATGGCTCAGTGGATAGAGCATTAGCCCCCCTGGACTGAAGGGTCTTGGGTTTGATTCTGGTCAAGGGAACATACTTTGGTTGCAGGCTTGATTTCCAGTCCCAGGTTAGGGGGAGTTTGGGAGGCAACCGATCAATGTGTCTCTCTCTGTGTCTGTCCCCCTCTCTTCCACTCTTCTCTAAAAATCAATGAAAAAATATCCTCATGTGAGGATTAACAAAAATATATACATACATCCACATACATATGCACACACATCCTTACTAGAGCTCAGAGTAAAGCTTTTTGCAAAATACGTATTTTTAAAATTTTTTATTGATTTCAGAGAGGAAGAAAGAGGGAGAGAAAGATAGAAACATCAATGATGAAATGACGAGAGAGAATCATTGATCAGCTGCCTCCTGCATGCCCCACACTGGGATTGAATCTGCAACATTGGCATGTGCCCTTGACCAGAATAAAACCCAGGACCTTTGGGTCACTATCCACTGAGCCAAACCAGCCAAGGCAAAACACATTTTTTAAAAGTCAAAATATAATATAGGACATTAAAGCAAATACACATTTCCAAAACAGAATTGTCATTAGATATAATCATAGAGAGATCTAGAGAGAGAGAAACTTGTGGGACCAGAAATCCTGGGGTTCGGACTATTAGAGCCATGTGAGCTGCTTCTTCCTCAGTCTGTAGCATTTCCATGGTGGATAAACATGGGCATCAAATAAAGGCTGACGGATAGCCAATCTCGAGACAGTGATGGGATAATTCTTAAACAGAATGAAAGTGAAGTACTAAGGTAAAGATTTAGCCTCTCTTTGGATTTCTTCTACTGGTTTTAAATAGGGTTTTCTGGTGAACTAAGTGCAGGACCTGTAATATGTGAATAGGCTGTGCTCATTTAGAAATATCAGATTTATAATACCATGCTCCAACAACAGTATTAATAATAAAAAATATTAGGGCTCAGTGTTTGAGCATTGACCTATGAACCAGGAGGTCACAGTTCCATTCTAGGTCAGCTCACATGCCTGGATTGCAGGCTTGATCCCCAGTGTGGGGCCTGTAGGAGGCAGTCAGATGAGTCAATGATTCTCTCTCATCATTGATGTTTCTATCTCTCTCTCCCTCTCTGAAATCAATAAAAATATATTGGGGGGGAAAAAACAAAAAAACAAGCCAAATAATAAAAATGGCCCTCACTGGGATTTCAACTAAAACATCCCTGGGGGGACTATTTTGCTTTGTCTTCAAAAAACAGGGTGACTACCAAAACTGGTTTGGCTCAGAGGATAGAGCATAGGTCTGCGTACTGAAGGGTCTCGGGTTCGATTCCGGTCAAGGGCATGTACCTTGTCTGCGGGCACATCCCCAGTATACGTTGTGCAAGAGGCAGCTGATTGATGTTACTCTCTCATTGATGTTTCTAACCCTCTATCCCTCTTCCTCTCCTGTGAAAAATCGATAAAATATATTAAAACAAACAAAAAAATAAAACAAAAACAAGGGTCACCTTGGTCACCTTAGTTTTGAAACAAAGAAAGAGATAAAGATATAGAAAATCAGATACAGAAAACCTGCCTCTGAGAGCTGATGGATGGGTTAAGATCCAGATCCCCTTCAGTCAGAACACATTTTCTCCCAAATGTCTGCTTTCTTAACTTAGTTTTCAATCTTATTTTAAAATACTTTTAATGCACACAGATAGAAAAAAATATATCTCATTTACATGTTTGTTTTTCTAACATATGTAGATGTTATTATCCATAATATCTACAAGTACCTACCTTTGTTTCAATATATATTTTCTCAATCAATGAAAACGAAAAGACCTATTATTACAATATATAAAGTGGCCCATACAATATTTTGATACTAAAAGATGATTTTCATATTCAAAATTGCTTTTCAGATCTGTATTCACATTTTACGACATGTCTGCCTTTCCCATGAAATATGATATTTTGGTTCTGGGCACATTCATTTCTCTCCACTTGTTAAATTATAATTTTTGCAATATATCATTTGAGCCATTTAAGAGCATTTATGTGACATATGTGAGTTATAATATATAACAGTATAGTAAATACCTATAAAATCATCATCCATTGGCTAGAACATTTCCAATGAAGTATATCCATCTACATGCTCCTTCCTCGGGCCCCACCCTCTGTCACTCAACTTCAATCGGTGTTTATCTCAGCTGCCCTCAGGAAGGGGATCTTAGGGTTGGAGCTCACAAAAGTTCTGGGAAGCTGGGAGAGGATGCTTGGAGGGAGGTGATGTGATGTGTAAGGCAGATTGCTCAGATTCACCCCCATCACTTCTGTACCTGTACTGCTTGGCCCAGCTCCAAGGACTGAGCTCAGGCCAGTACAACTAGGGCTATACCTCATGTTCTGAAGCAAATTGGGCCTGGCAGTCAGGCTGAGCACTTCATTGCCATTTACAACTTGTTTCTACGGGAAAATACATTTCCAATAATGAATAAAGAAATTCTGAAATACCACCTTTCAGTGAGTTGGCGGTAACTGGCGTTTTGTGGGGGCAGTGACAAGAACTCACTTGCAATGAACCATCTGCCCTCTGATCAACTCTTATCTGACCACCAGATTTATAGTTTTAGCTCAAAAGAAGAGGAAGAGGGAGGCAGAAGGAGGATGGAAGAAAAAGAGTGGGGATGGGAAATTGAGAAGGGAGGAGGAGGAGGAAAGTGAAGGGAGGAAGGAGAAGATAGTAGGAAGATAGATATTTTTCAGGAAGCTGAAAAAGTAGATAGATGAGGATTTCTTTTTCGTTAACTAAATGTCTCTTCCCTTTTCTAGAAATCAGAAAATAGATTTTTTTTAAAGCAAAATGGCAAGAATTAAAAATCAGTTCTCATTAGTAGTGAAAAGCAATCTAGGTGGATGAGAGGCCATGTATATATATAACTTGGAAAAAATTCATATTTTCCTCCCAGTTCCCGAGTAGACCAAGACCAAAACTTTTCATGTGTATATTATACAAGGTGCTTATAACATCCAGTTATATAAAATATTAAAGTACCATTTCATCCCCTTTGAAAGAACATATCCCAAATAATTTTACTTTTTTCCATTCATAAATACTACACAGAATTTTTAGACCATTTTAGTTTAAAAGAAGTAGTTGGCCCTGGCTATTGTGGCTCAGGTGGTTGGAGCACTGTCCCATGCACCAAAAGGTCTCCAGTTTGATTCTTGGTCAGGACACACATTCAGGTCGCAGATTCAATCCCCATTCAGGGTGAAAATGGGAGGCAACAAATCAGTGTTTCTCTTTTACCTCTCTCTCTCTCTCTTTAAAAAAAATAAATAAATAAATAAATAAAAATATATATATATATATATTTATATATATATTTTTTTATTTATATATTTATTTTTTATATATATTTTATTTTATTTATATATATATATATATATATATATGTATATAAAAAATAAAATAAAACAAGTAGTCATGGTCTGAGGAACATAAACTCTTGCCATAATAAGAGAGATGAAATGTGTGATGCAGCAGGAAGTACCATGTCCCAGTCTTCCCCCAAAGTCAGGCTCAAGCTGACAAGTTCACCTAATAGGGCTCTCCTGACGTCCGGGTCAAGAAAGTCAGTACATTCATCCACTTTTCATTAGGCTCAAAATGAAGCCCTAAACTTACGGTAAAATTGGTAAGAACTTGAACATTCAATTGTTTCCTTTCTCAAAATGGCCAAGTTCATAAGGAAGGAAAAACACCAACAATGATTACCTGCAGCTTGACTTTGTCCCACCTTGAACCCTGATAAAGGGCCCATAGCACCTAGCAGCACTGTAATACCCCTGCTGCAGTCATGATAGTGGTTGCTCAGAAAGTCTTGTGGGGAATGAAGTGTGGGCACAGGTGTGAGACACACGTGTGGACAGCAATGTGTGATCTGAACAGGTGGGATTCATCACCCAGGAAGGGCTGCACATTAATTTCAGGACACTAATAAGGAACACAACTCCAAATAAATATTCCAGGAAATTATTTCTTAGGCAAGGCCATCTGAGTTTTGAATGGGAAAAGGGGAATACTAGTAGTTCACAATATGCTTAGTATTCCAACTCCTCCTATATTGGTTTCCAGTTATTTTATAATTGTGAATTATGTTATCTTCTTCAATATCCTGTCTTTCCTAAGTAAAATGTTATATAAATTGAAAAATTCACCATTGTATCCGGATTTGTGAATAATTTCAAAAACAGCCCAACTGCCATCAGCAGATGAGTGAATAAAAAAGCACTGGTACATTTACACAGTGGAATACTATGTGGCTGTAAAAAAATAAAGAACTCTCACCATTTGCAACAGCATGGATGGACCTGGAGAGTATTATGCTAAGTGAAATAAGCCAGTCAGAGAAAGACAATATCACATAATCTCACTTATATGCGGAAACTAATAAAGAAAATAAACTGATGAACAAAATACAACCAGAGACTTAGAAGCATGGAATAGGATTGACGAATTTCAGAGGGAAGGCAAGGGTGAGGGGAAGGATGGAAAAAGAGTGATTAATGAGGGAGCTTACATGTACATATACATAGCCCATGGACATAGACAATAGAGTGGTGAAGGCCTGGAAGGGGCAGATGCTGGATAGAAGGGATTAATGGAGGCAAAAACAAACAAACAAAGGTGACACCTTTAATGTTTTTAACAATAAAGATAAATTAAAAAACAAAACAAAACTTAAGAAATGTGTTCTGTATTTTCTGTTCACTATAAACAAGTGAACTTCAAACCTAGAGAGCAGTCAAGAAGCAACTCAGCATCTCTCATTATCCTCTCAACAGGTTCCAAAATAAGGCAGAAGAAATCCCATTCAAATTACAGACCTAGTTTAACAAGCTATACAAATGGAAGATGCTCTTTAGCTATTCACACACTGGCACTTTCTCTGATGGGCAGCAAGGTATAAGAGATGAGGGCGTTCACCGCCAACGGGTTTGGCTCAGTAGATAAAGCACTGGCCTGCAGACTGAAAGGTCCCAGGTTCGATTCAGGTCAAGAGCATGTACCTTGGTTGCAGGCACATCCCCAGTAGGAGGTGTGCAAGAGGCAGCTGATCGATGATTCTCTCTCATTGATATTTCTAACTCTCTATCCCTCTCTCTTCCTCTCTGTAAAAAAATATATTTAAAATATATTTTAAAAATATATTATAAAAGAAAAAAGAAAAAAAGAGAGAGATGAGGGTGCTGAGCAGTTAGGGGAACCAGAGTTTAAGTAGAGTTTCTATTCTCTGACCTGAAGAACTAATGACTTAGTTATGTCTTGTTCTTGTAGTAAAAGAAAAAAAAAATTACACATACCTATTAGAAACCAGACATATGGTTGATGATACTATCTAAAGACAAGACAGATATTTAAAAAATCTTCAGTGAATCTTTAGTATAGATCCCAGCTCAATGTCTTTGTGATTCCTCACTAATTGTAGGAACGTTGGAGAAAGTTCTGGCTAAGACCTGAGCTCTTCTCTAGTCTGTGAAGTGGAATGTTTATCCTAGAGAGGGATCTGAACACATTGTTTCTCTCAGCAGCAAACCATAGAGAATACAGACAAAACACTCCAAGGCATTCACTGTACCACACTTGAGAATGAGTGCTGCACTGAACATATAGAAATTAAACTGGTAAGGATAAAACATCACTTGTGCAAAAGTCTGGGAATTCACAAGCTGAAAATGGGCTGGGGAGTGGGGGGTGTTGAGCTTACCTCTTATCACTTATTTGTATTCTAGTCCAATACAGAGGCTTCATGGGACAACTGGGCTCAATGGCTGGCTTCCGAGGACATTGGCTAGAAGAAGGGCCGACTCCAAAGAAGAGGCCAGGAGGAGGTGGGGGCACAAGTCCTGGGGGTGTTGGAGCAGGAGGAGGCCCCCCACTGCTGGGCAAAAGGGTTGAGCTAGGAAGTGGTGGTGGGGGAGGAGGCGGGGGAGGTCCAGTGCTTGGAGGCAGAGGAGGTGGCGGAGGTGGTGGTGGCCCTGCACTCACAGGCGGTGGCAGAAGTGTTGGTGGCAAAGGCCCAAGCCCAGGTGGTAGGGGAGGAGGGGGAGGAATGGCTGCTGGTGGGAGTGGATCTGGGGGGAGAGGTGATGCCTTCTCCTGGCTCGGTGAGATGCATCCCACAGACTGAAGTGGTGCAAGGATGTCTTTGTTGTCATTTGAGGGGGAGAGTTGGCTTAGAGAGGAGATGTTCAGCTTTTTGGGTATTATTTGGTTACTTCTGGTTGTCTTGCCTTCCCCTTCACAGGGTTTGAGGAAAGTCTCTCTGTCTGTCTGGATGCACACATTTCTGTAGGTCTTGGGAGGGTAGTCATCATTGGTGGAAATACACACATCTCTCATCTCTTCACATCCTCCTCGCCATCTGTGCTCTATCTCGTGTTTGAGATTTTCGATGGTTTCTTCTAGTCTCGCTGTTATCACTGCATGCTCACCCCGGATGTGAAAGGCCTGAAGTTGAAACTGAACCTGGAGAGATAGCAGTGGGAAAGAAAGGAGAGCGTTTATAAAAATAAATATCATAAATTAAAAAATGCAATACCTTCCCGTGCCACCCGAGCGCAGCTCACAGAAACGTGGGACAATACACAGATGTGCTTTAGAGAATCCAAAGGGGTGTAAATTTCACTTTATGAATTTTCCAAGGACTTAAACAGTTGGAGTAGAGGCAGAATTTCATCCAGTATGAACTCATGGGGAATAATTATCATGGATTAAGGCTTAAAGTAAAACTGTCATCTAAGAACTTTCACCCGGTTTTAATATCAAATGCAAGACAAAATTTTTAATAAAGGTCTGAACATGCATGACTACATCTTTTATTACTTTTGGATTTGGTTTGGAAAAAGAACATTTTAAGAAAAAAATAGATTTGGAGATCCTTGGAGCTGCTGTTCTCACAGTCTTTCTCAGAATGTCTGTTCTATGGGGATTCCTGGTCAACACAGCAGAAACAAAAAGAGCAAGAAGAAGCTATGATCTATGTGTATTTTCTTTAAAAGTTTCCATAACAAAGCTGCTCATGATAAGTATTGATATCTTTCATAATCATTCACAATATAGTAATAAATAAGCAATATAAATGCATTGAAAATGAGAATATAACTATTTGCTATTTTTCTCTTTTATATACCCAGCATTTTAAACTATACTTATGACAGTCTTTTTAATACTTTTATATTTTCAGTTATTTCAATGCATTGAGTCTATGGTTTTATACTTATTAGCACAGACCTGGCACACTCCCAGTATTAACTAGTCTTTTTCCAGGTAGCCTATTACAGTTAACTGGGAAGCAGTCAAATTTACAACTTTATTTAGAGTTTCAGAAATCTAATTAAGAGTAATTAAATATTCCCAGTGAATTTATTTAATTTCTGCCTACCTATCCGATTGTATATGCCACGAAATGAAATCAGGGACAGTGCCTTAATTTCTGTATCCCAGCAGCCCGCACAGCACATATGCAGTACTGAAGAGATGGATAAAAACCACTGCCACAGTTCTATTCAGTCACTATCCCAAGAGCCTTCCTGTGTCTGACAAAATTGTCTTCACTCTAATTTAAGCCCCCAAATATCTACAACACCAAAGTGTATATAAGGTTAGATCCATTTTGCCTCGAAAAGGGAAAGAAATATATATTTTTTAATATATTTTATTGATTTTTCACAGAGAGGAAGAGAGAGGGATAGAAAGTTAGAAACATCAATGAGAGAGAATCATCGATCAGCTGCCTCTTACACACTCCCTACTGGGGATATGCCCGCAACCAAGGTACATGCCCTTGACCTGAATCGAACCCAGGACCTTTCAGTCCCCAGGCCGACGCTCTATCCACTGAGCTAAACCGGTCCTGGCAGGAAAAAAAATATTTTTAACTGCCTACTCAGAAAAGATTAAAAGACATAGGAAGATTTCCTACTTTCATTAAGACTCTTCTTACTGTATTTTTGTTAGGTTCACCTTCCCCCCCATGAGTCAAACCCCTAATAACTATGGTCAATAGAATTAGAGACAAGGATTTTCTGAAGCTGACTTTCTTCATATGTGGATATGGCAGCCCCGATCCAACTTAGAAAGAATTATACAGTTCGGGGCACCACGTATTTCCTGTCTAACACAGAAAAGTTAGCACCTGACTTCTGGATTCATGCTACCTCGTTCACGTCTGCTTAGCCACCGGGCTAGCTCTATGTTCTTGAGCAGGTAACTTTGTGTTTTCTAGCCTGAACTTCCTCAAATGTAAAGTGAGGGTAATAGTGAATCACCTCTAGGTTTTTATAAAGAAAAAAGGAGATACTTCCTAAAAGCAATAGGCATTATACCTAAAATATAGTAAGTTCTGAATAAATGGTACTGTTAGCTACTATTGCTCATGACAATATTATAGTAAGAGACGAACAGACCTCTAATTCTTTGACATTTCCAAATCATACCACCTTTGTGGAGTGATGGGCACCAAACGAGGAAATGCTTAGTCAGTATAAACAATGTCCTACAAATACAATCATTTAGCCCATCTTTCATGAGTTCCACTTACCAAATGCCTGGAAGTAATTTCAAGCTTCATTCAACTATGTGATCAAGATAATCTTTGTTTCAACATCTTATGCCATCTCCCCCTCTGTCTCCCTCCCCTGCCCACCTCCACCCAGAGTTCAAGATTCCCATCCTGAATTACTTACCACCATTTCATTTTAGTGAATAGTTCAGTTTGGCCACAACAAACTAATTCTTGGTTGTTATTCCCAACTAACTTTCCTTCAAGGAGGTTAAGTGCCAAATAATATTGATGGGCCAATAATTTTACTCAATATTCATCTTCTTAATAATACGAAAAATTTGTAAGGACCTGCTCGCAGAGAAACTTGCCCTTTATCTCATAGCTGGCCTGTAACTATACCAAAGACCCTGGTCCCCACCTCTTTAGCTTTCCATCCAACCAACCATCTTTTGAATCCGCTGAAGCTGAAGTACATCTAAATACAGTTTTTTTGTGGTCCTGGAATGCATTTGCTTAGTGAAGAGAGCAGAGTACAAATTGCACAGATTATTTTAGCTCTCTGTTCCTCAGTTTTATCATAAGTAAAATGGGGATGATAAGAGAATTCACCTCATAAGGAAATTATGAGAAGCAGATGAGTTAATATGTGTAAAACAACATTTAGAGGAGTTGGAACATAATAGGTGCTATGTTATCATTATTGCTATCTCCTTCCTATGGGACAGATAAAAGAACTGTGGCCATATCAACTTGCTTTTGACTCTTGGCACATTCCCCTGCTCATGTTCTATCCATATAAAGCAAAAGTAAAGAGATCTAAATCCTTCTTTACCCTTCTAGATGTCACCCTTTCGTTCTCACTACCTCTTTCTAGTCACAGCAGAGTTTTTTTGTAAAATAAACCACAGAACTCTTATCTATTTTCTCATTCATCTTCCTTTCAACCAATTACAATTTGGTCAGCACTTTTTAAGTCCTCTAGTCCTTTCAGCTGCATTGTTAAAGTTGACCGTTGCCCATGCCTTGAAATTCTTAAAATTCTCTCTGCTTCCCTAAACTTCCAATATACCCTCTGGACCCACCCCCACTTTCCTCCCACTGCTGGGCTCTCCCCAGTCAATCTGTGGACTCCTCTTCCTCCATGCATTCCTTTCATGCTGTTCATCAGGCATCCTCCTTGCCATCTTACATACTCATGTAAAATGACACTTGCTATAAATTGTAACTTATAAATTGTTACCTTCAAACTGTAATTCCAGCTATCCTATAGTTTGGTCTACCTACATATTTAAACAGCCATCTCAGACTCAATACACCTGAAAATGAAGTCATCATTGCTTAACCTCAAGTTATCCCCCCTTTAAAATCCCTCCTTGCAGTTAATAGCACCCTTGTCTTCCCAATCATCATATCCAGAAGCTTGGATGCCATTCTGAGTGCCTTGTTCTCTCCCATTCACAACATGTTATCTATTAGTTACATTAACTTCTCTGATGCATCCCTTTCCTCCCATCCCACTGCCTCAACTTTTCTTTACCTGGACAATGGCAAGAGCCACCTAATTCATTTTCCCATCCCCCATCAAGTTTGGCTACATTGATTCTAGAAGGATGAAAAAAAAAAAAAAAGGCAGATCTTTATTTCTTAAAACCCTTTCAATAATTGGCCATTATTCTCAGACTGACACTGAAAACCCTTTAGCATGAACACACAAAGCTCTTCCCATCTGTTTTCTAACAACTTTCTCCACTTTGGGCTCCTGCCCCTCTCCCAGATGTGTCCTGGATGCCAATGTTACATAACATCTTGCCTCTCCAGGGACCGCTCTCTTTCATGCATCTAAGCTTTTGCAAATGGTGCCCTCTCTCAGTTCCCCTCTGCTGAAAACACTCAAGGTAAGGGGACAGATTGCCAAATACAGATCCCATGAATGGCTTCCTTACAAACTGTATTCACTGATAGGAAGATTTACCAAATAAGGAGGAAATATTGAATGTCCATGTACTCCATATCAATATGCTGAGATTATAGTAAGAAACCCTTCTGACATTAAATTTTAAATGGCCCACATGAAGAAACAACTTACCTTTGCCCTTCCCTGTTTCACAACCCCTTTGATCATTCTGATTTTTGTCTTGGTTGTGTTCAGAAGCTCAGCGTGACACAGTAATTCAAAGTGATTAAAGTAATAAGCACCTCATTCATTCTGTATCTGTCCATAACCTATCAATTATTGCCAATTGTGCCTGGCTCTACTACAAATGAAGCATCTCAAGTCCATGCACACCATGAGTCGAGCCTTTGGGAAAGCTCGTTTTTAGCCCCATTTTTCACTCTACTTCCTGTGAAGTGCCACTTCTACTTTGCACATGGAAACCATGTGCTGTTCCCCATCCTAGAGCCATAGCTAGAAGGACTGTTAATGATTTGTGAATCAAACACAGAGTAGAACTTTCTGTTGGATCAGCATGTATTGCTGGATAATGTTTGCCTGGGATCACGGGAATCTTTATGAAATGTCAAACCCGGGTTCTTACAGCCAAAATTATAGCTAAGGCTGGGTCAAGGGTACATAATGCTTTTAAACCCTGCCAACTCTCTTTTCAGTGTCCTCTACTTTCATATCGAACATAGTGTTTGTACACAGAAGACAAAAGAAACCTTCCATTCACTTTCAGAGAAATGCTCTTTAGAACATTTAAAACATTATGGGTCTCCCTCTCCCTGATCCTGTCTACTAAAAATCTGTTTTTCTGCAGTCATCTCAATATGTAAGTTGAAAGGACATATATGCTGAGGTTTCACATTTTTCCAGTTTTCCCCAAGTTTTATCTACCAGACTTCATTCAGTCTATCTACCTTCCTTTACTCTTAACTTGATTGCTTCTCTTTTTTTCATGTTTAATCACATCCTCTTTCCACCTGCAATAATAGATTTACTTACACCCATGGCCTTCTTAAC